AGGATGAGGAGAGAAAGTTGAAAATAAGTGGGCTCCAAAGAGATTTGCTTTCTCTAAATCAGTGATGGCTAATGATTTGTCGGGACGTTCAAGAGGARGGATATTTTCACGTTGATTCGTTAGCTTTTTTGTTATTTTCCAGAGGGAGCCGTTGTTAGGAGACAGAGTACCTACTTAGGTATTGACTAAATTGTTCAGATCTATATTTCGCTAATTGAGTTTTAAGATCATTTGATAGATGATTGTAGGCAGTKTTGTGTTCTGGGTATTTCGATCGTTGCCACAAGGATYGAKCACGAGAAAAAGATTTTATAAAACAAAATTAGTGAATTGGCATTTTGTTCAGTTGTTCAAACCAAGGACCAAGGCGTTAGTGATACCATGATAAAAATGTATGGTAAATAATATAATCAATTCTATGTTTGTTACACATTCTAGTTTTACTTCAAGATTTAAATTGTATAAATAATTACATTAGACGTAATCTCGTAATATTCTAGGTAGAATATCAGATCTTTAGCACACACTAAGTCAAAATTAGCACTCTAAGAAATTGTTWAAAAAATTAGGTCCTATTAAATCACAAAAAAATTTGGAGCTTAAGCACCCCCTTGTTCAAATGTCTAGTTGCACCCCAAGTAATGGYTGTTTAGTCATTTAGAGACTTTTATTGTTATAATATCAAAAATAATACAGTAGAATCTCTCTAATCCGTCACCTTCGGGATTGGGGGTATGATCGGAACGCGAAAAAGGTCGGATTATCAGAATATACAGAACATTTTTATTTACATATTACATACAAGATTATATTAGAAATGTATTATATTTTACAATACTTAGAAAAAAAGCCAGTTAKAGATTTTTGTTTAGCAAATGATATTCTAGACTTAGCTAAGTCTAATAAGGAAAATATTAAACTAGCAATTAATTTTATATATCTACTAAAAATTGGAAAATCAAATTGTACTTTTTAAATTACATACCTACATAGTATTCATATCAATAATACTATGGTCGGATCAACCGGAGCGGCGGACTAGCCGAGGGCGTACGAGAGGGGTTCTACTGTAATTAAAACATTTATTTTATTTAAATTAGGTATTTTAATAATTATCTGTAACATAATAATTTAATCAACTAATTGTGCTGAGCTATAGGGCTATTAAAATAATTTACAGTTATTAAAATATAATTTGTAAAGCTGCATTAATTTGCTTAGACATTCTAAGCCAATGACCATAATACACAGCACTGTTACAGTGTACATCTTATGCAGTTCTATATAACTTCAGCAGATATAAATCTCAAAAATGGCGTAATTTTAGTTTTCAATAGAAAGGGAAAAAATTATTACCGGCCCAAACAGGCGAGTAACTTAAAAACCGATTGTACGCTAGTAACCATCATACTTAATACAAACTGCTTACATTTTTATCAAAAAACTATTGTCATCTTACATAATATTTTGGAACGAATGCAGTTTAGCTCCCAAGCGATTTTTTGGAATTTTTTTTTTTCAAAATGTGTCTTTTGCATGCCCAATTTGATGGTACTTTCAAAAAAAGCCGCGGTCGAACTTATTTTGGAAGTTATGGTAAAAAAACTTTAAAATGCAGCAATTTTTTCAAAAATCGTGTTTTTGAATTTAAAATACCAACAATTTAAGTTTATAGAATTTTTTTTTTATAAATGTTTGTATTTATATGCTCAACATTTTTATGGAATCAGAATTTGCCTATCGTATTTACTTTTTATGTTGTTGTTAATAAACCACATAAAACTGAATTATAAAGTTATTTCAAACACTTGCATATTTGAGAAACTCCAAATTGATTTTTTTGACTTTTTTTTCATTCGATAACTGATGAGTAATAATATAAATAAGTTTTTGGTGAAATTAGAACTAACTTATATTTTTTGGTTTAGGAGAAATTGGTTTTCACGTGGAGCTCCGCTAGTGACGTACGTTTGGCCAGTCCCCCCCCCCTCAAACCCTAAACTCTTAATCAATATCTATTTTTTTCTTCACTGCCTCATTTTGTATTAATTATCATTTATCACCCATTTACCAATTGTACCATTTATTATATCGATCGTTATTTTTCACAAAATTAATGAAATTAAAAAAAAAAATGCATATAATGCTGATAAATTCAATAAATTTATTTAAAAAATTTAATAAATGGTACTGACTTGGGATTAGTTATAAGTGCATATTAATTATTGTTTAACATTTTAAGATAACTTCCTTCAAAAAGCCTATTTTGGTATACCTATTTACCTAAAATTGATAGTTTTTCTAATTAAATACATATCAATTCACAATTATCAACTAATATTGAAATTATATCATAAATCGTAATACAATCAATACATTGCATCAATGGTTTATTATGTATGCACATGCACACCACCATAACATTGATACCATTGACCAATATTTTAGTCATTAAAAGTTTAAACATTGAGTTTTATAATGTAGGTATATTGTTATATTATACCAACAATCAATACAACAATTGCTACTAATACAAAATATTAGAAATATAATACATAATATCATGTATATAATATATGGATAGAGTGCACTCTCACTCTTTGACTATGGTAAAAAAAAAAATGCTATAGGAAACTTATGCAACAATAAATAATAATTGACTAACAGGGACTTCATGTGAAAAAAGTATCCTTTAAAAACATAAAATATTGCATTAAAAATATGTATTAAACATTATTTATTTAATTAAATCCAAGCCATACACCTAATTTTTATAAGAATATTATGATAACTAAAACATTAATCTAAATTAAAATAAGTAAAATAAATTTCATAATAGTAATTATTTTAACAGAATATGGTGCATTTTTCTCAGAAATATTAATTATAAATTACTTAATACTAAAAATCTTAATAATAATAATAATAATAATAATAATAATAATAATAATAATAAAAAAAAAAAACAGGAAATTGGCATAGTTTGCTATAATTGTAACACAGATTAAATAAAATAATATTTACTTAAAAATTATAATATTTAAAACTTATATCTTTCTAGCATAAATTAAAACAATAATAAAAATATAGTCGGACTTTTGATAAATTAGTTGTAAAAATTAAATAGACAAAAATTAAAAACAATTTTGTGATTTGACCCTAAATTAGGCTTTAGCCAATTTTAACACATGTTCAATAACTTCTTCAATTGTTTGGTTGCTGAGTAGTGTTTGAATAGCTGAATCATCAATTATAATGGAAAATAATTGTTTTGAATTATCCCTAAGTCTAGTCATGTATGAAGCATCTTCAGCGGCTACCGGTGCGTGACCGCATCTCCTAAAACAAAAAAACAGTTAGGTATTTCATAATAAACATTATCATGGGTATTAAAAAGTGAACAAAGTAATTAAACTCATTTTATTTACAGAACTAACTTTTATCAACAATGTTTAAAAGGTTTTAAGTGGAGTAATTTTTAATATTAAGAAAATATAATACTCATTAGAACAAAAACAAAAAACTGATAATAGCAGTGTATAAAAAGATGACATTTATAAAACTAACCTACATCGAAAATAATTAAAAATAGACATACTTTATCACAGATTCAATTAAATGATCAACAGTTGTTCCTGGCCAGCCAAACTCTTTAAGTGTATTTTCATCTACTAAAACGGTTAGCAATTCCATAAGTGATTCTGCCAAGGTATTATTTTGATTGGATTCTTCACTTGTGGTTGACCCATTATCTTCCAATTCATCAATACTTTCATTGTCGTCTTCTCTATCATTGTCAATTTCGTCAGAATCATTTTGGTTACCTTTATCTTTCTTCACTACTCCCAAAAGCTGAGCTTCTAGTTTTTTCTTTTCAGCATCAGCCATAATTTCAGCTAACATATCTCTATGTTTTGAACGCATATGACGCAATAAACAATCTTGACGAATAAATGCACGACCACATTCATCACATGCTCGTGGAGGCTCTTTAGTATGAGTTAATAAATGAATTTTTAAAGAAGACTTCATTGCAAATCGTTTTTCGCAAATAGGACATGCATGAGCTTTAATACCAGAATGAACAATATGATGTCTCTGTACATCTTCTTTTCGCAATAAAGCTTTGTTGCATACAGTACACATAAATGGTTCAGCTCCTTCATGTACATATCTAGTATGGAGTGTTAAACGTGAACGACGATTAAAAGATTTGCCACAAATATCACATGTAAAACCATTTTCACCTGAAATATTTTTAATTATTAGCTTAAAAATCCAACAACCAGTTTTTATTTGACATACCTGTGTGATGGAATAAATGGGCACGCAATTGTGAAATTTGTATAAAGGTCTTGCCACAGAATCCACATGAATGTGGTTTAAGAGCAGTATGTGTTTTGATATGACGATTTAAAGTTTCTTTGGCCGCAAATTTAGCAAAACACTAAAAGGATTTTTATATCAGTAAAGTTCCCTATGAAATAAAAATATAGATAAAAAATTTACTTGTTGACATTCATATGGGCGTTCACCAGTGTGAATTCTACGATGTTTTTTCATGGCTCCACTGGATGGAAAACGCTTAGGACATAAATCACATTGATATGGTCTGTAACCTATACACAGTATAAAACATATATATTTTAATCATAATACATTTAATATATTTAATTTATAATACATCAGACACTGATAACAATTACCTTTAATTGCAATCCTATAGTATTGATGTTAGCATAAACATATACAAAAAATAAGAAATGTAGGTAATATTTAGAATTAAATTAAATATTATTATTTACCTAGATGACTTCTTCTATGAACTGTTAATAATGCAGAGCCAACAAATTCTTTATTACAATATTCACAATTATAAGTWCGCTTCTTTTTAGTTTGACCAGCATGAGCACGTAAATGTTCTCTTAGATTATCCTTTCGGTTAAAAACTTTTCCACAAACCTTAAAACAATTCATAATAAGTTAAATTATTCACTAAGTATAAATAAATTCAATTTACTTGACATGGAAATTTAGGCTTTTCTGAACCATCACAACCAGTTTGCATATTATGACGTACAAGATGATATTT